TTGGAGATCATTTACGTATCATTCCGGTGGAAATTATTGAAGGTGAAGTTAATGGATAGTTAGCTTATGTGAGGTATCTAGCTGTCATCCTTGTAAGATAAGTTTGGAGGTTAGGGTTGTTTCCGTGAATGTGTTATGGCAAGCCCTGTAAGTCGAGGGGGCCACCATGTAGGCCGAAAGTGTCGTGGAAAGAAAATATTTTTGTTTGATTGTATAATAATTGGTTTTGATTTGGAAGGTACCTTATAGATATTATCATTTAAAAATGTGCAGTCCATGTTCAGGTATCATTATGATAATGTAGTGCTTGTAACGTTGAGATTAGTGTTGTGGATATATACGTTGTGGTGCTTTGTCGAGTTGTGGATGTGTTGTTAGGGTGGTTTTGGTGGTTCTCTAGCAGGTGGATATGCCTAGTTACAAAGGAGATGTTGCCGAAATTTTTGAAAAATTTGGGAGTTAGTCAAAATTTAGGGACCTGAGGTAGGTTAGAAAAGAGATATGTTATGTTAGAGGTTTGGGGCGGACTCTACCTCTCATTCGAGGACGAATAATCCTAAGCGGGGGAGGATGTAAGGCTCCGGAAAATTTTACTAAGTAATTAGGATTTCGTGATGCCATGTAGGCTAATTATAATATTTTACGTGCTATTAACATGATGGACGTCAATTGGATTTGGTAAATAAGTGTATAATTCATATAATAAATAATGTGGGGTCTAATGGGAAGCCTATGTCTAAGTCAAGTTAGAAAATTACATAATGGGCTAAAATTCTAAATGAGTTCGCACAAGTCCCCACTTTGGATGGGCATATATAAATATATATATAATGTGTTATGTGATGAGCAACCTGTCAAACTAAAGATCATTCAGTCTAATTTCTAACACTTCAAACCGTTCGTCATTTGGACATCACTACACAAAGTTATGACCAAATTACCAAAGGCTGGAAAAATGCGATCCTGTGGGGAATTTTATGCGATCGCATATAAATTATGCTGTCTGCATACTTGATATGCGACCGCAAAACAGGTCGCAGAATGGACCAGAACTTCCCAGTTTTGGGCACCGAGTTATGCGATGGGTTTGCGGCCCGCATACCCATTTTGCGACGCATTATGCAATCGAATACCCTGTTTCGGAGGCTTCATTTCCCTATTTTCATAACCCGGCCCCATTTTTATAAATAGGCTTTGGGTTCATTTTGGGGTGATTTTATGAGCATTCTAGAGAGAGGTGAGAGCAATTTAGAGAGAGAAGGAGGAACCCAACACTCAAATCATCCAATCTTGCATCAATCTTCAAGAATCAAAGAACCCAATCATAAGTTCTTCGTCAAAGAGGTAAGCTTCCATACCCCAAAATTTCAATTTCGAGATTTTGATTAAAAATAGGTCATGAGAAGTATGATTCTTGGGTTTAATAATATTATGGATACATGCATGTACAAATTAGGTTTGTGGGAAGATTGTTGAATACAAATAAGTAAAGATTGGGTTTGGAAATGAAGTTGTAGAAGAGCTTTGAAATCAAGATGCACAACTAGTCTTTGATAAAATGCTCAAATGAGCTGAAACCATAAATATCTCCCTAATTTGTGTTCAATTTTGTTATATCTCAAAGTAGATTGGGATTGCTAGAATTTCCGGAACGTTGTAGTAACTTAAGGAAAGCTTAAACAAGGTATGTTGGCTAAACTTTCTCTCTTAGAATTGAATTCAATAAATATTTTCATAAGCTCAAGTGTGGTTGGCTCAAAGTTCATAAATCTTATATTCCGGGTTATTACCCATAAACATGACTATTCTGAAATGAGCCCTATGAAAAAAGATATACATGTTCCAAGAATGAGTTGTGTATTTAAATGTTACTGCTTTGAGTCGTGTTTCAAATGAAGGCTAGTATGCTTTGAGTCGTGTTTCAAATGAAGGCTAGTATGCCAAATTGTGTGAGAAAAATCGATATGGTTGATACTCCTAATTGCTTTTATGTGTACCAAAAGTATTTAATTGATTGTGTCTAGTTGTTGGTAATCTATAAAGATGTTTGAAATGAATTTGGGGAAAATGAGTGTGGCTAACGTGCCTAGAACTTGAGTTATAATTGTGCCTGGTGATGCCTATGACATGAGAAAATGTGAACAGATTATGAAATGAGCCTTAACTTTACTTTCCGTAAATGACTTCAAAAAAATAAGGTGGCCTAAAGTCTTTGCACTCAATTTATGCCCATTAGTGGCTGTTAGAGATAATGATTTGCCTTATAAGTACCTCCAATGTGATCCGAGCTGTTACATACTCCGATGTTGAAATTGTATATTGCCATGATTGGAAAGGAGTAATTCAAGAATAATTGGTGTAATTGCTTGTTTATGACTTTGATGTGGGTTTCTATTATGGTTTGGTGTGTCCCCTCCTTTGGGAAGAATCCTTTGTGTTTAAAGTTCCATTGCTAATGAACTTGAGGTGTATAATTTCTTAAATACTCTACATGTCCATGATTCATGTTTCCTCTCATGTGTACTTGACATCTTGAATTGAGTAGCTTGTTGTTGAAATCGATATTGATGTGAAATATGTGGAAAGGACTCGGATTATGAAATGCGACCAAGTGCCAAGTATGATGTAATGATTGAGGCCCCAAGTGCCGATGAATTGATATGTGTGATATAAAGTTGAAATGAGATGATTGATGGATAAAGTGAAAATGTCTTTGTAAGACGGCCTAGCCGATCGGGCCGAGATCGGACGCCATGCCGCACACATGGTGGTACTGTGTTGATACTGAAACTGGAATGTGAGAATGAAATTGTGATTGACATAAATGTCTCAAATGAGGCAACCTAGCCGATTGGGTCATGATCGGACTCCGCGAAAGAAAGTGGTGGTTTGTGGATGATGATGTAACGGTATTAAATGTCTCCAAGGGAGATGACCTAGCCGGTTTGGTCGTGATCGGACTCCGTGCTAAGATTCACGTTGGAACATGTATATGTATATATTGGCACAATAATTGTGATAAAATTGGGAGTTGGTTATGATGTGCATATTGTGAACAGTATTATTGTGAATTGTGGTGAATCGGTATTAAATATCTTCTATCCAATAATAATATTGTCTTCATATCCCGAGTGTCATTTTCACCATATGAACTTTCGTATATTGAAAAATTGTTATGTTTAACTTGGCATTTGGATATCATTGATTGTTACTTGTTGTTTATATGGTTGTCTTTCCTTATAATGGCATTCTATTTTGAAAGAGGACTTTTAGCTATTCATACTAGTACTATTCGACAGTACTAACGTCCCTTTTGCCAGGGCGCTGCATCTTTAAAGAATGCAGGTGGTTCTATAGTAGGTGGCAGTGAACAGTGATAGCGGTCCACTCCTTTCAGCTAACTTGGTGATCCCCACTTCATTTCGGGGACCAGTGTCATTTCGTTACGTGTACTTTGTATTTTAAGGTCTAGCCGGAGCCTTGTTGCCGGCATTTCCATATTATTCTTCAGTTGTATTTAGAGGCTCCGTAGACAGGTTGTGGGTGGTGTTTGGTATTGGAAATTAAATTAGAAATATTGTTATTTGTGAAATATCTTTTTCTTCATATCTATAAAAATTGTAATATTTTGGATATTATGGTTGAAACTGCTAATGGAAAATTGAATATTTACAAAGTATGATGGATGGACCATCTCCTCAATATTCATGAATTAGTTTGGGTAGAATGAAACCTAACAGGCTTTCTCAGTCGGGTTTACTTGGTTTAGCGTCGGTCGCGCTCCTCGGTTTTTGGGGCGTGACAGGTCCGACTTCCTAGTCGCGACCTTTATTGCTCTGGCATGTGCCTTTACGAATGAATGAAAAGCATGGCGAAAGAATCTAAGGAATTGGGTGGCAAATCGTGGTACCATATCATTGCCCCCCTTCGATAAAGTTTCTCAAATTATTTTCAACAGAACAGATTCAATTTCATTGTCTTCTAAGTCATTTCTTTTTATTGCGTGGTTCCATTGTACTTTGGAATTTCTGGCATGCGGAATTTCTTCGAAATGGGCTTCAGAGCCACACTTAGTGGGAAAGGCTTTTGAATGAACTTTTTCGAATCCAAACCCTTCAGATTCGGGGGTGCCCTCGGTATTTGATCAACCAGAGAGTTGTACGTCTGTACCTTTTTATCATTATCCTTGATCTTCTTTTCTCCCGATTCAATCCGTTTAGTGAGCTCCTCGCGCATCTTCATGGTGACGGGATCAGTTCCCTATCCATTATCGTTCAATTTCTCCTGTACGGGCTTGACCTTATGAACAACTTCCTGTGACGTATCGAGTTCGATTCTTCTCGGGGCTCGATTCTGATTTTGGAATTGCGCTATCGCGGCCTACTGAGTTTGTAGCATGTCAAATATCATTCGAAGGCTAATTCCACCTTCTTCACCATTTTGTGCGTTCTGATCGGCTGCTCGAGCGTCTCTGCGGACACTATTTTTTTGGTCGGTGCCTAAATATCCATGAACGGCGACACGAGAACTGACATCAACCGAATTTACGGCCTATGATGCGTCGGGATTGATTGGAGGCACTCCGTTTCCCGGGGCGGCTACGTGTTCGTTTTCTCCATGAAGACCAAGGCCGATATCAGTGTGGGTGGTTGCTGCCTGAGAGTTCGACATGTTGATTCCTGAAATCAAAAATACTCACGAGAACAAGCGTAAAAGCAATGTGTGTTATGAAGGTTAAAATATTAAGCAATCACTATTATCTTAGCCCCACGATGTGCGCCAAACTGTTTACCCTAAAATTTGGATAACAATTAAACTTATAACGTGGTTTTAAGGATATGTGATTTCACCTAATACCAATTGATAAACATAAAGATAAATGATGCAAATTGACAATGATATGAACCAAACCAGCGTTTGGATATAGCCCTCGAGCTAGTTATACAAGAATAGTTAAAGGCACAATATGCTGATGAACAAGCAAGTAAGCTGAGAAATATTATATTGCTTTGATATTCGTGAATGTAGGTCCTTCACAAATGATGGGAACTCCCCTTTATATACTAGAAGAATCTTAATTATGGTACAATTATTCTTTTATGGAAGTAAATCCCATGATTGGTACAAATAACCGCCCTTGATTTGATCTATTCCGGGATTTCTGCCGTGATCTTCTACCGGTTACGGATATCTCGCCTTTCCGTTATTGCACTTTACTCGAAGTTGGTCATACCTAGTCTCGATTGCTAGCCTCGGCCTCGACGAACATCTCGATTCTTGAACTCGACACCTCGTCTTCGTGTTATAGCCCGATCCTTTGCGAGGCTGACCCTCGATGTGATTTCCCGATCTCGATTAAATAGCAAAATCGGGCAAGCCCGATTTTAACCGTATACACCAAGATCCACCCTATTATACACATGACCAAGTTGAAATAAGCAAGTTTTTCCACACTAAAGAAAAGAAGCATTACAAGGAATCTTTAACGAAATATTTGTAAATTTAAATGAAAAAGGTGCAAAGAAAGGCATACCAAACTCTGCACCAATTGTCCTGGAATTCAACATTACTTACGTCATGGAACGATGAAGGCATCACCTTGGAGCCTTCGCTGCATCATAAAGAGGATCAAACTCCAACGATGAACCCCCAGCTGCATTCCTTTAACACAAATATGAACCTTACCCAATCATGTTAAAGGGGGATTTCAATTCTTTACAATAAAAAATTTCAGCAAAGAAAAAAAGGGATGAATGAACTAAAATAATCAAGTCTAGAATAGAACTAATAACTTCATTCATTTACAACCTGACCTAATACCATCTTGCTTTAAGGTATTAAAAACTTAAAGGACGATGATTGTAACTACTCCACTTAATGATTGGTTACTTGCTAAGGAAGCAGAGTGATGGGAATGACAACACTAAAAAACGGCAGGACAAAGAAATAATAGGTGTTCACCTGCAAATTAGATGAGTTAAATGCGCCTAATCAGCCGATGACATACCATGCCTGGATAACCTGCCATTAGGAGCAAAAGTTGTCAAACTCAATAGGTTAAAAGTAAGTCATGTAATGTGAGAACAGAGAAGAAAACAGCATACACTACCGAGAAGGTTAACGTCTCGATCAGATGGTGAGCCGTATAATTCGAACCATATGTACGAATCAAGAGGATTAATACTATCAATTCAAGTTAGATGCAGTGAGTGATATATCTTTACATTATAGCAAATAATAAAAACGAATTGCAATAATAGGCAACATTTTCAGTTTAATGATTATATTGTTAACTTAGCGTCATAGCCCAAGCTCATGGCCCAATAGACCTCACGGACAGCACCGTACCAACGATTTGATTGGGATGGGTGCAGCACTACATCTAACGGACCTAATGCTAGCCATAGAATATGCATAAGGGTGTGATTGGTTCAATGGATTTTTGGATAAAGGATATTCGACATAAACCCATCATAAAGGTAAAGAAAAGGGACACCTTTACTCGAGAAGACGAAAATTTCCCCAAGAGAGTAGTTGCTCAGAAAGAAAACTATCCAATACTTGAAACTATTTGTCCGTAATAATTATTATTTCCGCACAGTATATTTCATTCACTGCTGAACAATTTATTGTATAAGGGCCTATAAATATCTGCAAAGCATTTGCAACTTTGTGACAGCTGATGTTAAGAAATATAAAGCACGAATAACAAACCAAAATGCCATGTATTTGAATTATAATAACTCATACTAACTCCAGTGCATTTCCTGATGGTATATGGTGAAAATTGGGGCTACTTTCATTATTTGATCGAAAATTAGATATCATTTCGAAAAGCCAGGACGTCGGGTCCGGGATCGAAGTTGCTTTCTAAGATCGAGGTCGACAACACTAATCGAGGTCAGAAAAGGGCATACTTCGAAATGACGCTGGTATAGTTCAGTAACGGAAAGAGCGAGATATCCGCGACAGATCGAAGATCGTGGCGTGAATTTCGGAATGGATTGATCTTCGTTGGTCAATCAATTGTCAATATGATTTCATACTATGATTAAAAGTGTACCTTATAAGGAGGAATCCCATTCATTTGTAAAGATGATGATTCACTAACAAGAATACACACATCTACTGCTCTTTTTATCTTCCTTATCGTTCATTATTGTTCATCATTGTTGTTTCATTTCTTTATTGTTTTTATTATTGATCCATCTCGAGACCGTCTTGAATCGAGGTCGAGACTCCACTCGCATACTGGTTTGATCTATCCTATCTCCTAATTTATCTATTTAATTCCTTGTTTATCAATTGGTATTGAATTGAATCTCATATCCTTAAAACCACAATATAAGTTTAATTGTTACTCGAATTTTAAGGTAAACAGTTTGGCTGTAACGACCCAGCCGGTCATTTTAAGAACTAACGCCCCGATCCCCTATTAACTGCATTCCCTGTGTTCGTTTATGCCATTGTGGATTGTCGAGAGGATTCGTCTTGAGTTTCCGAGTGTTTAGGGACACTTAGTACCTAAATGAGAGCTTAAGCTTTAGAATTTGGAGCATAGTCGGAGCAGTGTGAAGACAACCTCGGAATGGAATTCCGTCGATTCTGTTAGCTCCGTTGAGTGATTTTGGGACGTGTGTGCAAAATTTCAAGTCATTCAGACGAGGTTTGATAGACTTTTTGATCGAAAGCGGAATTTGGAGGTTTTGAAATTCTTAGGCTTGAATCCAAGGGTGATTTGGTGTTCTGGCATTGTTTTGAGTGTTCTGAGGGTTGGTACAAGTTTGAATAGTGTTATGTGACTTGTTGGCGTGTTTGGTTGAGGTCTCGAGGGCCTTGGGATGGATTTGGATGGTTGACGGAGAGTTGAGTTTTGGAGTTGTGGTGTAGATTTTTCTGCTTCTGATATTTCCGCACCTGCGGATTGGGGATTGCAAGTGCGACGCCGCAGATACGGAGAAGAGGTCGCAGAAGCGTATTTGGTTCAGCTGGGACTTGGCCGCAGATGCAGTGATTTAGGCGCATCTGCGGGACCGTGGGTGCGGTTCCTCAACGCAGATGCGGCCCTGAAGAAGTTAATGAAAAACTGCAGATGCGGTTGTCTTGATCGCAGATGCGGTCCGCTGAAGTGCTATTTGGCCACAGGTGCGGAATCCCTGGGCCAGAACCTACATAAGGTTTCCTTCGCGATTTTCAGCTCTATTTCACAATTATTAAGTCGGATTGGGAGCTTTTTGGGAGATTTTGAAGAGGAAATTCAAGGGAACTTCGTGGAGATAAGATTTTTGGACCAAAACTCGTTTCTATGGTGATATTTTAGTGATTATACAAGGAATATATGGAAATTAGTGGTTCAATAGGGGTTTAGGGTTTGAAATTAGAGACTTTGATTTAGAGATTTGAGGGGTCGTTTGTGGTAGGATTTTGATGTATTTGGTATGCATGAACTCGTGAGAGTGTAAGGATTCTAGTTTTGTGAATTTTATCCGATTTTGAGATGTGGGCCCGGGGGACTTTTTGGGCGATTTTCTTAATTTCGTGTGTTAGCTTCGAATTTATTGGTTGAATTAGCTACTTGAAGTTATACTTACATTATGCAATTAATTTGAATAGATTTGCATCATTTGGAGTCGAGTACCCGTGACAAGAACATGATTTCAAGTTGATTGAGCTAGTTCAACGTAAGTGTCTTGCCTAACCTTGTGTGGGGGAACTCCCCTTAGAATTTGGTACTGTTGCTATATGAATGTCGCGTACGTAAGGTGACGAGTGCGTACACGTGATAATTGTTGAAAAACCCCGTATTCATTAAGCAAATATCTATGTTTTCTTGTAACTGAGCAATACTTGTACGTGAAGCCTCTTGCTTAGTTTAGGAAAAGCATGCCTATGTGATTTAATTGTCTTACCTACTTTAACTGCTTACCTGTATTCTGTGCAGCATATTTAGAGTAGAATTCCTATTTATTCTCTAATAGAACTGTAGATTCTTTCTTGAGACTGTTGCGTGTTAGCTTTGGGACTACCGATCGGTATTCCGGTGGATCCCCTTGCACATTTATATTTGGAACTACGGGACAACACTCGGTAGATTTCCCTGTACTGGATATTTACTTTGGGACTACGAATCGGTATTCCAGTAGATCCCCTGCACATTTATATTTGAAACTACGGGATAGCACCCAATAGATTCCCCTGTACTGGATATTTACTTTGGGACTATGGGTCGGTATTTCGGTAGATTACCCTGCTCATTTACGTTTGGGACTACGAAACGATATCCTAGTAGATCCCTATGTTGCTATTTTTGTGTACTGAGTTATTTTCTTTCCGTGCTTTTATTCTTTATCGACTGTTAGCACTTTAATCATAGGGCCCTACTGGTTATATATATATATATATATATATATATATATATATATATATATATATATATATATATATAAAAGCCAGTAGGGCCCTAACCTTCCTCGTCACTACTCGACCGAGGTTAGGTTTGGCATTTAATGGGTATTGCTGTGGTGTACTCATGCCCTTTCTTGCACATGTTTTTTGTGTGCAGATCTAGGTTCTGCTGCTCAGCCTTTCTAGCAGTGCGGTAGTCGATATCAGAGACTTCAAGGTATATCTGCCGCCTCCGCAGATCCAGGAGTCCCTCTCTAATCTTCCCTTTAGCTTTAGACTTCCTGTATCTACTTTGATTAGACATTCCGGAGTTAGAACACTATGTAGTTTTCCATAGCTTGTGATTTCATGAGATTCGGGTTTTGGGAGTGCCATGTGTTCAGTTTGAGAGAGTGAAATTGTATATGTCGAACGACAAATTTTAAACTTATCTATTATGTTACTCGTGTTTTGCTAGTTTCGTATTTTGTTTTTCCTTTTTCCGCAAATTGTTAGGCTTATCTAGTCGTAGTGACTAGGTACCGTCACGACAGTTCACGGAGGGAGAACTTAGGTCTATCGAGCCCCCCTTTTTCTCGCGAAATCGGGTTCATGACATTTTGGTTGAGACAAATCGTTTCTTTTGGGAAAGAGGTTTGCATTTTTAAAGAGTCGCCACCTAACGATTTAAGGTGTATTATGGCACCTATAGGGTTCATTTATAACTACGTTTGGCAACCAAAGATAGGGTAAGGGCTTGAAATTATCCTAAGGGGAAGGTGTTAGGCATCCCTCAGGATCCACTAGTGTGGTTCCCGTCCAAACAGTTTTTGTGGTTTTGTACAATTAGCAAATACACAAGTATGGCTAAAATAGTAGGGGATTTAAGTTTAAATACACAAATGTTTGAAAAAAAACAGTTAATGAGAAGCTAGATTTGAAAAAAAGAAGTATAATCTAAGCATATTTGTGAATGTAAAGGGGTGCCCTAGGTTGGTTAGCCTATAGGATCACATCATTACAATGCCCGATAATCACTTCTTACAATATAGTACCTTTAATTTATTTTCAGAAATTATTATACTATTTCTTGTAAAATAAAAAAGGGAAAAATGGCTATTTAAATGTTAGCCCCGTTCATTTCAATTTTAGCCTTATTTGAACCCCAGTTGGACCCAATTTTTTAACCCAATTACCTAGCCCAAATCCTAATCTACCCGGCCCACGACCCAATTAAATAACCCGCCCGGATTCCCTTTTAATTCCAGCCGTTGATCACCTAGATCAATGGCTCACATCAGCCCTTTCCTTTTTAATTCCCAATTACCCCCTAAACTTAATCATTTCTCGCTTGTAGACGCCTTTGAACCCCCCCTCTCCCAGTTCTCTCTCAAACTCTCTCTCAAACCCTAGTCGCCGCCTTCAATCCCCACCTGAAAAGATCCCAAATCCATGGCTTCCAAAGCCATGGAAAGCCTATTTCCGCCTCTGTTGGCCTCTATGTGTTCGAGTTCTATGATTTCCAGGGCCAGACCTTAAAGAAGCTTGGCCCAGACTTTGGTCGATCCAGTTCTATGGTTGTTTTCGGTCATCTCCGACCTTGCTCCGGCCAGCCATGGCTATTCAAGCCTGACTCTTGGATTTTCCTGCTTAGACCAAAGTCCTTCCAAGCCTTTCTCACCATTTGGTTTTCTTCTGAAACCCTAAACTTTGAGGTTCTTCCGATTCTTTTAGATCTGTGTTTATTATAAGCTTCTGAACGTTTTCTCAAGATTTCTTTCAAAACTTTACCTTCAGAACCTTTATCGTTTCCGATTTAGGATTTTTGTTCAATTATTTCGAAGCTTTTCTGATTTTTAGCATGTTCTAC